TCCAAATTGCCCTGGCACTGGATCTTCGTCATGCTTCCCATAGCCCAAGCAAACGTAGCTGAAAACACATTCCCCTTGGCCCTTTCGGCGTCTGCAGTGGCGCTGCAAGTAGGTCGCCTAGCTCCAAAGTATGGTTGGGCATCTAGACTCACAGGTGTCCTCGTCTATGATTCCCTTGTCTGCATCAAAAACAGCAAAAGACATGGGACTCATAACGTAGAGACGTTTGGTAGCAGCATTTTCTACAATTCGAAGCAGCGTGATTCTTGGAAACATTCACTCGTAAGTGCATCAAGCAATTGTGCACGGCCAGAGCCTGCAGTGTGCACAGTGAGGCAGCAGACCGGGATCAGATAGGCCTGCGCACGATGGTTACTCACTGAAGCTCGGAAGCAGTCATTAAATGTCAAAGGAATCGCGAAAGTGGGGGGAGAAAGTATGCTAAACGCCCAACGTACCGGCGGTTTGGGCGAAGTGCGTTTGATGCAAGAACACCAGGAATGTCACTATGGCGAGAGCCCCAACATTAGGAGACAAAACCATATTGTCTAAAGCTCGGTTGAGGGGGATCTGCTTAACGACAGGAAGGGGCGAGACCGCCCAGCTATCCCATGGACGGTATCACCAGGTTAACAAGTCCGGTGGGCAGAAAGCTGTTACAGTATCCAGTACTAGCCAGGTGGGCCTAGGAGTTCGAGAGAGAACGAAATTCAACAAAAAGGGGAATTCAATCGNTCCAGTACTAGCCAGGTGGGCCTAGGAGTTCGAGAGAGAACGAAATTCAACAAAAAGGGGAATTCAATCGGGGTCCAACGCAACTACCAAGTCTATAGGGAATGGCCTGCGCCCGGTACAAACGAGCCACTAGGGACACTGTTGGGGCTAAGATCCCATGCCTAACGCGGCGACGTAGTTGGGTCAAAAGAGAAGTTCAGTTCACCTGGAGGACTTACAACTACCCTAAACAATGCGGTTTTTCCATTCTAAAAGCTTTTCCTGCGATCTCTGCATTTCAACTAAACTTTCCAGTTTGCATCAATGCCCGCATTGGGCTCATTGTTGCAACGAAGCTAGTACTGGTACGCTCACTGAAGTTAAGTCCGTAGTAGCACAAAATACCTAATTTACCTCCAATAACTGGACATGACTTTGAATGCCCAATCCGTTGGGGTTTCATCCCCTCTGCGCGCGAGGTTTTCTTCCAAACCAGAGGCGGGATGCCACCGACGAGTCGGTACGGGCGCTGGGGATGAAAACGGTGCCAAGNAGTAGAGAGTCGTGGTCGAATTGTGTGTTTTTTCCATTGAATCGGGTTAGTACAGTGTATTTTCTTCCAGTTAAGGTGGGTTGATACCTCACTTCCATTATTTGGTAGCTCCACCCGCCTGTGGCCTGTCTCACGGTGTAACATGCAGTATCGTCTACCCGAAGCTGGAGGATGCATTTGCCGCTGAGTGCAAACTGGTTATTGAGGGCCAAATAACCGTTTAAAATGGTCTTGGCTGTTAGTGTAGCGTAGTCTATCTAGCATTGACAGCCCGAAGTCAACACAGGAACATTCACTTGTCGTGTGTGGGCTACCTGCAAGCAAATACGAACGCTGAAAAAGTGTTCACCGGGACAAATCATGAAGCAAAGGAAGCTTCGTTGTGCCTGCTTGTGAGGCTGCCCTGCATCATTAGTTGCAGCGAGGCGCGCTGCGACTCAGGTCAGGCTGTCCTTTCCCCCCCAACTCCATGCCTGGATAATCGTCAACAGTTGTAGTGCACGTATCAATAGGGATTGATTGTGCATGCATGTGAGGATGCTGTGCAGCGCGAGTTGCAAGAGAAGCGCTCGATGGAGCGCTACACAGGAAAGTATCACTTCTCCGTGAACACAGAAGTCCAATGGTGGGACCGCAGCTGCTGTATAATTGGTTCATAGCAGCNGACAGGCAAGTGGGGTGTGAAAGGGTCGAACTCGCTGACATGATAGAGTGCCTTCGCGGAAAATACAGAGAAACAGCGTCATTTCCGCAACACCACCTGTAAAGGAAGGAAGTGGGTTGGGGGAAGGACACAGATTTAGAGCCTACAGATATTGGGGCAGTGAATGACCAGCCTCGAAGGATATTAGAAGCTGCATCCGAGAGCAGCCCACGGGTTCAACACCCAGAAAGGCGCACGTACCGAAAGGCATATCTGTCCCTTATGCAATAAACAAGGTCACCTAATTCGAGACTGCAGTTGCATGGAAACAGATATGCTAGACTTTGAGCACCTCCGAAAGATGAGCAAAGGAAATCACCCGGGAAACGCCCGGATTCGGGCACAACGGGCAGCACAGTGATATGGCAGAAAATGAAGACGGGCGTACCCGTGGATCCACCTCGAGCCAGCTCGGTGCTTATACAACTTCGTATTTATAGTTGTATTAATGCTCAGAAGTTGCAAGCAAGTAGCAATGCACAGGCGAATTTCACACGAGCAGTGTTGCATCTGCCACTACCCTTCGTCCCCACCCCGTGCCTTGCCGAGGGCCGGAAGCGAGGCGTGCGTAAGCAGCAGTACGCGCACCAGCAACAGCCTCAGCAACAGCCTCAGCAGCAGCAAAGAGCGATTCTAACTGCCGGGCTGAGGAAGGCGAGCATACGCAAGGCAGTCACCCCTCCTGTGTTTCATCGCCTTGGCGGGGCGACGTGGTACACGAGGATGTATGCTGCAAGAGGTGAGGCACATATAGCATTGTCTGTGCAAAATTGGTCTGAGTATTCCTAGATGCATGCAGGCTGACACAGAGGACCAAGGTAGTGCTCAACAAATGTCTACGAAAGCATGCGCGTTGCGGCGGGGAACATTGCAACTTCTGTCATGCCGCCTTCTCTCCCTCAGCCGCAGACGCTTGGGCCGCCGAATCCAGGCTGCCTGGTGACTGAAGAGGANGAGAAACCAGCTGCGATTTAGACTCCCCTGCAGCACTTGACACCGTAGATAATTGTTAAAGGGTGGCATGACCCACAGTAGCAAACCTACCAGCAAGTAGAAATATACGTACCAACTTTCCCCCGACCGTTTTAAAGGCGACGCTATGCCGGCATAGCAACCCCGCGTGCAATCCTGGCCAAGCCTTCTTTTTCATACATTCAGTCACACAGTATATCATTGGTAAGCACTTGCCTGGCTTCCGGTAGCAAACAACGGACCAGCAAGTATAAATACAACTACTTTCGACGGAGTATGCTACACCAACCGCTTCAACGGTACACGGTCGAGGGCCTTCGGCCAGTAATGTAGAGCCAAGGCAAGAGAGATAAGAAGTATGAGTCAAAGTTTAGGTTTTACGGGAAATAATCCATGCATGAAGCCGTGCCACAACTCGCGAAGATTGCGCCGCATCCCCCCACTCATGCAGTAGAACGGATGGGCGCAGTACCGTCTTTGAAGTGGTCTTTGAGGGGGTCCCGTATGAACGTAGTGCACAACATGCAAAGTATCTCAAATACATACAAGAATACAAGTTTCCCACAGTGCATACCCCACATGTTTGGAAGTCCTACTAGTCTGGGAGTCACCACCCCCCAGCAGCGGCCTGTGCCTCTGCGCTTGAACGTGAGCTCCAGTTCCCCNCTAGTCTGGGAGTCACCACCCCCCAGCAGCGGCCTGTGCCTCTGCGCTTGAACGTGAGCTCCAGTTCCCCAAAGATGTTCAGTCGTAATTGCCGAATCTTTACCACCCCACTTTTCGAAATTACGCTTTAATCGATGACACCACGACACCGCGAGCTCTTTTTCTACGGAATCCTCGGAGCATCGAAGCGTTTCTTATACGTCGGAGCATCGCCCGCTCCCGGCGGGTGTGCGGTTTTCGTGGAGTAAAGGGGTAATTTCTCCAGTATGGTCTCATATTGAGGTGGTATGAGAATGTGTTGTTTATCTTGATTTGCGGGGTTTGCCTTAGCTTCTCCATCCGGCGTTCTTTCAGCTCCTGGGACTGTCTGCCCCTCACGGAGTCAACAAGGTCGATGAGAAGTTTCCGTATGGCTACTAATGGCTCTTGTTGGCACTCCTGCTGCTTGGATCACAACCTAACTCTTCAGATAGTTATTTTGCGAAGGATTTTACCCTGTTTTGTACCGCGAGAGGGCGCAAAGTTCAGCAGCAACAACCTGCAGGGGCTCTATGGTAGCCTGCTCACTGGATTTACTTTGCTCCGACCCACCGACTCAGCGGATGCCTCTACCTTGCCCAAAACCCGTTGTCCAGTTGAGCGGGCGTACTACTGACTCTGGGGCTTCCTGGATACCACACTACTTCGAGACAGCTCTTCTCTGCGTAGGTGGAAGGCGGTGCAGTGCGTGTGCAAGTATCAACGGCAAGAATCATACTGCTGTATAGGCTAATGAGAAAGTTGCCGCAGCCTTTGTTCCTACACCAACGTGTAGCATCTTCCGGCGTTTGAGGAACTTGCATGCATCGGCATGGTAAACCGCGTTTTGCTTTAGGAGAGTTCCCGGGACCCTCTTCTGGCTGATAGGGTAATACGACAAAACGATCAATAGATGCTGTTAGAGGCCACGCGCTTTCTGTTGGGGCTTGTGAAGGTTTTCCCACGTCTATTTGCCGTCATTTAAGCTCGAATGTGCATCATCCACGCCTTCGCTTGTTGGGATGCAACTGCATGTTTTGACTGCCATTAGCGTGCTGCGCACTTAGTACCACTTAGTGTATTTGAGCTGCGTTGTGTGCACGAGAAAAAGTTGGCCAGGCTTCCACATAGGGGTGGACCAGCACATCCAACCGTGCTATTTTCACAGTACAGCTGACCTACCAGTGTTCCTGTGGACTTTTGTTGCCCCGAGTGCAACGAAGGACGGGCGATGAACTAGGAACGCATATACAGGGGAAGCGAAGACCTATGCGCGAATTTCCGCGTGCCGCCCCCGCGGCAGGCAATGAGCCAAAATGCAACAGCCCGCGAACTCTTGTTGCTGCACCAGAATTGGTGGAGGTCAGCCCGCTGATGCGGTCTTGCATTTTCGGGTTCAACACTCACGTGGCGGAGCTTCCATCCTCTGCTACCGATATTCGGGCTGCGGAATCGTCGCATGTAGGACCCCAGGAAGTGGAAACGGCATCAGAACTGGCTGTACGGCGAGCGCTTTTTGCTCAGCTACCGGAGGAGCTTTTAAAGAGCACGTCNCGGCATCAGAACTGGCTGTACGGCGAGCGCTTTTTGCTCAGCTACCGGAGGAGCTTTTAAAGAGCACGTCTCTTAACGAGGGCGCTAGTACTAATGGGGGCAGATCGCATTCACTGACTCGGACACCATCCACAGATATACATCGCGAAGATGCTTCTGCCTGGGCGCAAGACGGTGGGTCGCGGCCGCAGTTTAACGGAGTCCTTCCTTCGGAGCTGCGCGCTCGGCTGGCGGCGTTGAGCCACGAAGTCGCCACCCGTCAAGGCGACTGCAGGGAATCGCGTTTAACATCAAAGGCTGCATGCAGGAGGGGACGCCATTCCACACGCAGGGCGGCAACTGCGCTGCATGTAACATACCCTTCGATGGAATTGTCTCAGAACGTCGGACTCAATGGCTCGCCATGCAGCGCAACCCCACCTGCCACTCCCACCTCAACGGGTGCCAAGACACCCGTGCTTCCGGTTCCATGTGAAGCCAGGGGTTCAAGCGACGCACGGAGCCCTACGGAATCCGATGATTGTGTTTGGCCTGACAAGGGAGCGCTGTTGCAGGCACTAGGCATGGCTATTCAAAAATCGGATGATGTAAGCAGTCGCAGCTGCCGAACTTCGGTGCGTTTTTCGATAAGTCTATTTTGTCGCATTGTAGCTCTANTGTAAGCAGTCGCAGCTGCCGAACTTCGGTGCGTTTTTCGATAAGTCTATTTTGTCGCATTGTAGCTCTAGCCGCCAGCATCCTGTGTGTAATTCAGGCTCACAACCAGCGTTTCTTTCGTGATCGTGAGCTTGGTGTTTTTCTGTTCAGAATGGGGGTTTCGGGTCCCGCGGTTCTCCACTTGGCGATTCAAGCCTCCTGGTCCCTCCTGCAAACTCACTGCATTGCGCTGAGGAGGGGTGCGACAGTAGCTTCCAAGCCAGCGACGTCGCGGCCTCACTCGAAGTCTCAGACGCTGAGAGGGACGTCTCAGCAACTGCTGCGCCTTTCTTCTATGGATCCAGCTTTGCGCTGCCACACGCCGCGAGTCGGTCTTACCAGCAGGTAGACGACATCATTGAGCCTGCGCGGAGCTGGGCTTCCACTGGGGACAAGTTGGTCACTAGCGGGAATGGTGGTGGTGGCGCTATACGGGTACGCGTGTTATGCAGTGCTGAGCGTGAAAGACACAGATGTGTATGCTGCGAAGGAGAGTCAACTTGTAGTTCTTGCTGTTGTCTGCTTTTTGTAGTCGGTTGATCGCCTTCTGGGGTAGTGTTAAATGTCGCCCTAAGATGTGCCTTGCGTTGCAGCTTCCACTGGATGCCGGAGGTGTATTTGCAGAAGTTCAGTTGACTATCCTGACACTACTCGAGGACCTTCATACAGCGACGTGTTGCTGTGCAGCTGCCTCGAACCCGG